CCTCCTCCTCCTCCTCCTCCTCCTCCTCCCCCTCCCTCCTCCCCCCTACCTCCTCTTCCTCCCTCGTCCTGCCTCCACCCCATCCTCTTCCCCCTCCTCCCTCCTCCCTCCTCCGTCCCTCCTTCCTCCCTCCACCTCCTCCCCATTCTCCTCCCTCTCCTCCTCCTCGTCCTTCCTCCTCCTCCTCCTCTTCCCTCCTCGTCTCCCTCCTCCTCCTCTTCATTTTCTCCTCCGCTCACTCCTCTCTATCTCCTCCTCCTTCTCCCCCACCTCCTCCTCCTCCTTCGCCTCCGTCCGCTGTCCCTCCACTCCCCCCCCTCTCTCCCCTCCAATCTTCTTGCCTCCCACCCTTCCTCTCTCTCGGCCGCCTCTTCTCCGGCCTCTCTTCTCCCTCTCCCGTCCCTCTTTCCTCCCTTCTCTTCCCTCCTCCTCCCTACTCCTTTCTTTTCGTCTACCTTGTCTCCTGCCTCCCTCTTCCCTCCTCCGTTCCCCTTCCGTCCTCGCTCGTCGCTCCCGTTTGATGCGTCCTCACCTTTTACTCAAGACTGGGGCCCTCGTTTCGGCATCGCCTCTGGGGGGCTTCCAAGAGTCCCAGTTGAACCTGAATTATTCAAGAGTTATCAATTTTGGAGAGCGTAGATCATGTGGAGGAGGAGGAGGAGGAGAAGAAGGAGGACGGATGCTTTCCAGGGACCCCAAGGATCGAGGGTCGAAGGATTGACTTCAGGGATTCCTTGAGAGGGTGTGGAGGGACAGGTTGAGGATGCGAGCATGGGAGCGGCAGCGCCTGGGGGCGTGAGCATTCAGGGTCACGCGCTGAGGCCGCAGGATGGTGGCGTAACTTTTGGAACGAGGAGTAAGAACCACCTCGTCCTCTACTACAACTACTCCTCCTTCCCCCTCCTCCGTCTCCTCCTCCTCTTCCTCCTCCTCCTCCCTCCTCCTCCCTCTTCCTCTCTCTCATCTACCCTCCCCATCGTCCTGTTCCCTCTCCTCCGAGATGCGGGGCGTGCGCAAGGCGATTGCGATGGCGATGTGCCGTCCGAGCTGTGGATGTCGGAGTTCCTCAGAAGAGGTAGTGACGATACTTTCTTTGGCCGGAGATCTGGGCGAGGGAATATCGGACCCCGCGTGCCAGACAAATCCCCCGTGATGGGGTGTGGTATCCAGAAGGGTGCGTGTGACGTGGGGGGAGGGGGCATGGCCCATGATGGTGCAACCGTTGTTGTTGTTGAACTCTCATTCTTGAAGAATAATTATTGTTGATCCCCCCCGCCGGTGCACATGGATTTTTTTCGATTGAAGTGCCACCCCCGGTGCTCGCACCTTGTTTTTTCTTAAGGGAAGTCTTCCTGCTCAAACTGTGCCCCTGCCCCCCGGGCTACAACAACAACGGCTCCCGCTTGAGACTTCCTCGATTTTTACTCAGGACCCCCGCTCCCGCCTGAGACTTCCGCGCAATTTACTCGGGAAAGGCGCTCCCGTCTGAGACTTCCTCGCAATGTAATCAAGACCCCCGCTCCCGGCTGAGACTTCCGTGCAATTTACATGGGAACGGCGCTCCCGCCTTAGACTTCTTCGAATTTTATTCAGGACCCCCGCTCCTGCCTGCATTGAACTGTGGGCAACGGCTCTCCCGCCTGAGAACTGATCCTCGCAATTTAGTGAGAGACCCCCGCTTCCCCCCGCCTGAGACTTCCGTGCAATTTGCTCAGGAACGGCGCCTCCCGCTTGAGATTCCACGCAAATTACTCCGGCCAGGGCCCAAGGCCCCCGCGCTTCCCGCGTGATTTTTGTTCCTCACAATGTACTCAGGACTGCGCTCTCGCGTGCGACGTCCTCACAAATTATTCTGGAATTGCGTTTCGGCGCTCAGGAACCACGCACGCGCCAAGAACGCCTTCACAACGTGGTATCTTCCCTCTTCCTTCGTCCTTCCCCCTCCCCTTCCTCCCACTCTCCCTCGTTCTTCCCCTCCTCCTCTTGCAGGGCCCGCGCCAATTCCAATGGCGGGCAGAGAGATGTACGCCCCCGAAGGATTGTCCGCCCGTTCCGGTTTGCCCGTACGTCGAAGCCCGCCGGCCCCAGCAAAGATAAATATCCCCCCGAAAGGGGTGTGATCGAAGACGAAGAGGGCGGGTATCGAGGGTTTAAGGGTATTCGTGTGTGAATGAACTCGCGGGTCAGTAAGAGCCTACAGCTTAAAAATGGTTGTTGTTGTTGTTGAACATTATTAATTCTAAAGAATAAGTATTGTTGGGACCCCTGGTGCACGGCCCCCCTGCGCCGCCTAGGCCGCAGCTACATTTTCATCATTTTCGTGAGGAAGCCTCAGAAAAGAGGGTGTGTACAGGATCCGGTTGTTTTGTTGTAATCCGCTTACCCTTGCAAAAAAACAATAGAAAATGACATTTCTTGTTCTAATATAATCAAATTTCAAGAATCCCTTGCAAAAAATAAGGTAAAGTGGACATTCGCGCGCGCAAGACGAAATCCTTCCAAAAGCTTAGTGTTCGGAGCGATTTTAACATAAAAACATAAAAAACCAATGGTTTTTCAACAAGAAAATGTCAAAATCTCATCCCGCGCGCTCTTGCGGATTCGTAGGAAACCCAACACTTTTTAAACATTTCTGTCAAACGGGCTTTTGCGGGCAACTTTTTCGAACTTCTGCGACAACGGTTGCGCACCTGCCAGGGCCATCATTCCTGTCAAATAATACCATGCGGGACACATTCGTTTTTTCTTCGCGCGCGCACGCCGTCGTCGTCGGCCGCGGGGCCCTGAATAGTAGCCACGGTCGTCCGCATGCCACGAAGTGAAGTGTCCGAACGTCATAGGGCGGGAAGCGCTGGTGTGGGTGGTGCGAAGAAGTCGTTGGAAATTTTGTTAAGAGCTTGAAAACAACGGCCACCTCCAATAAGTGGGGGTAAGGTGCCGCCTCCTATGAAAACCCTGGCACTGGTGAGTACGGAGTGTCCCCAGTCTTAAATGATTGTTGTTGTTGTTGTTGTTGTTGTTGTTGTTGTTGTTGCTGTTGTTGTTGTTGCTGTTGCTGTTGCTGTTGCTGTTGTTGTTGCTGTTGCTGTTGTTGTTGTTGTTGTTGTTGTTGTTGTTGTTGTTGTTGTTGTTGTTGTTGTTGCTCTTGTTGAATACTCATGTCTAAGAAATATTTGGTCGTGGATCTCCGGAAACGGTTCCGAGTACTCTCGCCCCCGCGCGGGCTACATTTTCTTTTGAAGCGAGGCTCCCGCACGAACGTTGGCTTGAGCATAAATGTGGGCCCTTGGGGGCCCAGCTACGACAACAACGGCTCCTGGTCGATAGTTCCTCACAGTTCACCCCGATACACCCCAGCCATATGGGCCCCCGAACTCAGGGACGGCGTTCCCGAAAGAGACTTCCTCGAAACTCAATCAAGTTGGCGGAGGCCCAGCCGCGACGACAATGGCTCCTGCTCGATAGTTCCTCACGATTTACTCCGAGATCCCCTGGCCGAGAAGGCCCCCGAGCTCAGGAAAGGCGCTCTCGCTCGAGACTTCCCCGTAGGTCAGGCAAGTTGGTGGAGGCTCGGACACGGCGACAAGGGCTCCCGTTCGATAGTTTTCCATGAGGGCTCCGAGAGCCCCTGGCCAGAGAGGCCCCCGAGCTCAGGAACGGTGCTCTCGTTCGAGATTTTTTCGCACTTCAATCAGTGGCCGACAAGGAAGATATTCTCCCCCGAAACGGGGTGCAATCGACGACGAAGTGGGCGGGTATCGAGGGTTGGGGTATACGGAATGCAAGCCGCGTGCCACTAAGAGCGAACAGTATCAACGTGCTTGTCGTTGTTGTTGAACATTATTTATTCTAAAGAATAATTATTGTTGGGACCCCTGGTGCGCGCCCCCCGCGCCGCGCCTAGGCCGCAGCCACATTTTCATCATTTTCGTGAGGAAGTCTCAGGCAAAACGTGGGTGTCCGGATCCGGTTGTTTTGTTGACGCCCGCTTTCCCTTGCAAAAACACACTATAAAATGAAATTTCTTGTTCTAACATAACCAAACTTCAAGAATCCTTTGAAAAAAATGACACGAAGTGCACACTCGCGCGCGCAAGATGAAATCCTTCCAAAACCTTAGTTTTCGTAGCGATTTTAACATAAAAACATGAAACACCCAATGGTTTTTCAAAAAAAAGTTTCAAAAATTCATCCCGCGCGCTCTTGCGGATTTCTTAGGAAACCCAATACTTTTTTCAACATTTCTGTCAAACGGGCTCTTGCGAGCAACTTTTTCACGTGCTTCGAACTTCTGCAACAACGGTTGCGCACCTGCCAGGGCCATCATCCCTGTCCAATAATACCATGCGGGACACATTCGTTTTTTCTTCGCGCGCGCACGCCGTCGTCGTCGGCCGCGGGGCCCTGAATAGTAGCCACGGTCGTCCGCATGCCACGAAGTGAAGTGTCCGAACGTCATAGGGCGGGAAGCTGGGTGTGGGTGGTGGCGAAGAGTCGTTTGGAAATTTGGTAGAGCTTGAACCGGCCCCCCACAAAGTGGGGGTATTGCCCGCCTCCTATGAAAACCCTGGCACTGGTGAGAACGGAGTGTCCCCAGTCTTAAATGATTATTGTTGTTGTTGTTGTTGTTGTTGTTGTTGTTGTTGTTGTTATTGTTGTTGTTGTTGTGGTTGTTTTTGTTGTTGTTGCTGTTGTTGTTGTTGTTGTTGATATTGAATTTACAATTGAAGTTG